AGTGCTCCACAATATGAATCCACAGGTGCAGTCTTCAGGTGCACCTTTGCAATAATCAGCACTGACAGAACACACAGGTCGAGCACAGAGTGCAGGCTTATTTCGAACAAAACAGCGACTAATAAACTCTACCGATCGAGAAGCCACGCGCCCCACACGCACATACACGGGAGGGTTTGTCGCCAGCACACGCAGTGACATGTAAGACGATGTCAGTCCCTTTCCCGCGGTCTTCGTCAGAGTGCACAGCAAAAACGGGCAGCCAAGGTTGTCTAGGCGACGCGACTTCATGGTGTCGGTGCGCTCTCAGACCGGCTAGATGCGGTTTAACGCTAGCTCCGGCCCTCTACTTATAGCGTGGGCGCTGCTTTTATTTTGTGGCAGTGATCTGTTCCGTTATACTCGTTCTTTAACAGTACATCTCAATCGCAGTGAACATTGTGATGGTGCAGTGCGGCCAGCACGAGCTACTAGTCAGAACGCGCATTTTATATTCAGCAGCAATATTTAGCGTACCTTCACCTACCTAATGTAGTGAATACTGATAAAAAAGCTAAGCTGATGCTTTTTGCTTAGCTCTATGGGTCTTTAGGGACTGCACATTCAGGGTTCTGCAGGTGATATTTTATCAGCACTTTCATTTCGGTAAAGACATTGCAACATTGCATGCATCGGCCGTCACACTGTTCGTTGAGAACATATTGCCACGTGCGTACTGCTAGGAAGACGAAGACGACAGCGCATACGCGCGTCTGCAGGTTTTTATGCAGCAAGCAATAACAAGAAAGAAGAGGAACGCTCTGGCGCGCAGTAAATAAAAATACTGACCTGCTGCTTCTTTCTCAATCTGTTAATTACTACTTCTGTCTTCACGTTGCGACAATACATTTGTACTTAGCTTGCAGTCCTTCCACGGCTGAAAATATTTCATTATATTGTTTTCTCACTACCTACAAAGTCAAGGCTTTTACCGAAGCACGTCTGCTGGGGAAGTTACAAAAATCAAAAGAAGGGGATCCAAAAAAATGGCAGCATATCCACGGAGTGAATGATGAAGAGTGGGGCAAAGAATTCGTCCGTCCATTCATTCTTGCTTCCGTCCGTCCGTTCATGCGTCCGTCACTGTGACCGTTCATGCGTCCATCAGCCTATCCGTGCGTGCGTCTGTTCGTGCGTCCGTCCCTGCATTCGTCCATGCAGCCGCCCCTGCGTCCGTTCATGCGCCCATCTATGCATCTGTCTATGTGTCCGTTCGTCCATCTAATCAACTCTCAGAGTACCACCATCTCGCATCTTTTCATCATATATTCCCCATTTAGAAGCACCGCCATTCAGCGGATATTCCAAGGACTAAACGAGAGGTGGCACACGCACACTTTCTTACGGCTTGCGCTTCGGGTCCACTTCCCACCTTTAACCACTTTGAGTTCATGGTGTATACTAGTTCACTGTATTCATGGCACTGCGGCCGAACGCTCGCTAAACCTTTCGAAAACCAAGGAGGTTACGCTCAGCGAGTATGACGTAGCAAACTTTTTCAGTCAGATAGTGCTCAATGTACATGCCAATGGCTGCTAATGGGAAATGAGAGGCGGAGAATTCGGCTTTTACTTTCTTACGGATTGCGCTTCGTATCTACTTCCCATTTTTAACCACCTCGAGTTCATTCTTGGTATATACAAGCTGATTGTATTTATGGCACTGCGGCTCAACGCTCGGTAAACTTTTCTAAAGCTAAGGAGGTTACACCCGGCGAGTATAACGTAGCAACCCTTTCTTGTCAGATAGTGATCAATGTACATGCCAATGACTGCTAATGGTGATCGCAGCCTGCGCGTTAACTAAAAGCCAAATGCTCCTGTCTCTAATTACCCATTAGCAGCCATTGACATGTACATTGAGCACTTTTTTTCTATTGTTCAACAACGTACAGAAGAAGTCTCTCACCAGCACCACCTTGGAGGTCAAAATGTTATACTTGTTACATACTGCGAGGGGCGAACGTGTGCCCCTATAAGGAGCTTCGCCCCTAAAAACGGAGAAAGAGAAATAACTAAAGAATGCGTTTCGGCTCCCCTGAGGAGAGCTTTGTTCGCAATTTAGTCAACATGGCTCCCGTCATTGTGAGCAAGGCTGCGTCAAGGTCACCGAAATGTTCTTATTGTGTATTTTTTATGGTCGGTGTCCTCTTACTAATTTCCATGACGCACTTTCAAGGACACATGAAGCGGAACATTCGCTAAAGTAATTAAATGAAACGTGCCTGCTAAAATACATGACATCAATGTTCGTTTTAAGGGACCTGATGAAATGCTGACGTGGTGGTTATGGCTAAACAAATGTGCTGTTTTTTTTTGCAGGCGGCGGACGTTTTATCTCCAGCTTCAAAAGCTTCGATCTTATGGGGGATGGGGGGAGGGGGGGAGTGTTCTATGCATGGCTACACCAATGTGCGCAACATTACTTTGTTTAGGCAAATCCGTGCACTTTGTGAGTGTTGACTACTCCCGCAAATGACACAGATGAAAGAAACAGATACAGGAGAATTGGATCTTACTCTAATGAACAAGTGGCGCTCCTATTGTATCTTCCGTCTTATAGTAGCTTGCGTGCTTTAACGATGAAAACTGCGTTTCGGTCACATAACTTCCGGCTTCGATTCATTACTAGACTCGCAAGCAGCTAGCAGAAGGAGCCTTTCTGGTATCAAGATGGTTAATGTATAGTAACCGTATAAGCGAAACGGCCATCAAATGTCGTGCATGTGTAGCCTTGTAGGCGCGTTTGCTCAGATTTGGGTGCACATTAAAGAACCCCAGGTGGTCGAAATTTCCGGCGTCCTCCACTACAGCGTCTCTGATGATCATATGGTGGTTTGGGAACGTTAAACCCCACATATCAATCAATCATTTCAAGTCTTGTTCTTAACACCCCAACTTTAAGGGTGTAAATGGGGTGTTTTGAGGCTGTTTTACTCACGAACACCTCAAATTTTGAAAATTAGGTGTAAAAAGGGTGCTCATTAGAGTTCTTTTATTATATACACCTGTTTTACACCTTTAGGGTGTAAATATTTTTAGAGTGCACACTGCACATGAACAGTGCAAAGCTTTGAAAAAAAGGGAATAGTCACATTTCTAGTGCAATTGATGTTCTTGTATTACTTGCTTTGGGGTTCACATTTTCATAGTGCATAAATACTATTATAAACTTCACACTATTTTATTCAGTGAAGATGCCGAATCTTGATGTCTAAAAAGTGGCAGTTGATCACCTGAATGATGCAGGCCGTGACCGATTTGTTTCATAACGGCGAATTCATTTGAGCCTCAATACAAGAATAATATAGAGCGCATTTTCTTGTATGCGCGATACGCCTACTGTCACGTTGTCATGACTGTGATGAAGCATAAAACTCTATGTTCAAGGTGAAGCTGTTTATTGCGCTGAGAGTGTGGCTACTAAATAAGTACGCACTGGCACTGATAGTAACGAGCAGAGCGCCGTCTGCCGATCAACTGAATAGTGGTGACACAAGTCGGCATAATTGCATGTGGCGTCGAATAATGCAGCCTTCCACGCTGAGGTGGTCTAGTCGCTAAGGTACTCAGCTGCTGAACCGCAGGTCGCGGTATTATATCTGGGCTGCGGCGGCTGCATTTTTGATGGAGGCGAAAATGCTGTAGGGCAATGTGCTTTGATTTAGGTGCAGATTAAAAATTGCCAAGTGGTCCAAATTTTACAAATACGGCGTCTCATATTCATGCGGTGGTTTTAGGACATTAAACACGGAATATCACTCAATCAATCAAACATTGCACCCTTATCACTAGCGGCCTCGTAAGATCTAGAAGAATCTCCAATGGTCGTGTCTTGCGCGCAGTATTGAAGAAATGATCTGCTGCAGCCCTGAAGCTTCTCCAACACTGCGGACACGACTTGCGTTCAGCTATGCTTACAATCTTTGTAGGCGATAACCTAATACAGCAGACATGAAGTAAGAAGCACGCATGGCAATATTCATAAGATACCCTGAAGGAGCTCCCGGTATTGGCGTAATAACTACTCAAGTCATTCAAGCGTCAATGCAAACTGATGAGTGAATATAGTGACGCTTCTATTTGTCACACATGACTGTCCTAAAACCACTAAATGAACATTAGGGACGCTGTAGTGGAGGGCTCTGGAACTTTGGACCACATGGGTTTTTTAACATGCACCCGCATCATCTCTAACTCCATCAAAAATGCAGCCGCCGCGGCCAGAATTTGAGCCCACAACCTGGGGCCTAGTATCCATTACATCTGGTGCATGGTTTTTTATCAAGGATGGTTCATATAAAGAACTGTGCATTTTACGTTACCTTAGCGTTTCTTGCTGATGAAATTTTTGCTGTCACATGTATTGTATACTTGGTACCTACTACAGGAGGCACTTCAGAAGTCTTCGAACCTGACAATGCGTATCATCTTACTAGATTTACCGAGATGATATTGCGGTGAGTCTAATAGTGAAATCACTTAGCGTACCCAGCTGAATCTATAAAAGTGGAAAGTTTGCCTACCCAAAAATGAATAATACAACTTCGCATTGCACATGTGAAGTTTAGTTTGACACGATAGTGAGCATGCTGCAAGTATTTTTGTAAATTGAAAGTTCGTGAATAACTTCAAGGTCTCCGTGATGCAAACTTACAACCTGCAGTCATACTCAAAAGCTACCACAGATTTAAACTTGCCTATAACACACGCCTGTCAACCAAAGAGTCCTCGAGCGTGACACTTGAGTCTCCCATGCCAAGGATTGCGTGGTGACGGTTGACGATGCAAAGACGAGAAAAATCACGCACAGGTTTGGCAATGAACTTAGAAACAGAAAATATAGCATAAACTACGCCAAAAATGCTACATTATGCTATACATTTCAGCCGTCCAAACAAATTATTTTCTCAACACCAACTTAGGTATAGTGCAAACAAGAGAGACACAGTACATACTCACATATTCTATGTAGAACACCAGGCGTCGAACTACATTAAAACTTATGTAATCCAATTTGGATCTAATGCACCTGTACGCAACGTTCTGAGGTACTCTTAACATTCCTTTAGTAAGTCCCACAAGGTAAATATCATTGCGTTGTTCCAGGAACTGCATTGCAAATCAAAGCAAATCAGCAAAATTCAAGGACAGAAATGCTTCAAATGACAAAAATTTGTTTTACAAAAAACGCACGTGTATCCAGATTTTTGACAAGAAACGTTAGTTATTGATGCGTTATGGTATTTGAGTTAAGAACACAACGTTTTCTCGGTAAATAGTTGGATTAGTTAATGTGGTACAATGATATGTCATATACAATACATTATTACAGGAAGTATTTCATGGATGGTTGTGCGAAGTATTACATTATATGGATTACGAAAAACAAAGAAGTGCTGAATAAAAGTGCTATAAAACAGCATTAAATATTCCTTAAATACAATCAACAAGAAAGAGAGAGAATAATAAGGATAGAATGAAAACGTAGCGAAGAAAATGCAGTGTATGTCATTAATTACTTTGGCTCTGAAGCCACATAATGGGACCTACTGACTTAGCTTGTCGCTCAGTTACAATTTTGCTTTTTTTTCATTTGATAAGAATAAACGCCGTGTTAGAATAGACAAAGTTACTATAAATTCTCTGAACAAGCGCACATTCTGTAGTCTTGTGGATGTAAACATCACACGAAGCATTTAGCGCACGATACGTGGTAAAATGCTGCTTCCTGCAGTTATGTCTCAGCAATGCTGGCTCAAGGAGAATATTTAAGTTATGCCGCTGCATTTAAGCAATAATTGCATCAATGAATGATATTTTTCTATAAGCCTAGTTTGAACCTCGAGATTTGTAGAGCTGATAGAAGGTGTTTAGTAGTGCAAGAGCCTTGTTTGCCACATTGTACCATGACTGTCGCTTTGGTGTCAACACTAACTAAAGCGTTGAAAGAATATAGTAGAACATGGCTTTGGAATGGGGTGACACAATTTCTATGCAGGAATGTTATAGTTATTGAGCACGAAAATATTATTACGAGGCAGTGGGCATGGCTCCGCCCCGTCGTAGACGCATCGATGAAGAAGAAGCTGATTCGCCACGCGAGATCCTAGCTACCTTGAGGTGTCACACCTATCTGTAAATATTGCAAATACACTCCTTTCTATCTTCCGTGTATTTGTAATCCCCGTAACAAATTGGTGGAGGTGTGGGGTAACAAAGCGCTCTACAACGGAGCTCCGCAGTGGTCGTCAAATCAGAGTTTCCGTGATAGAACACGAGCGCCGCCATGGTGGTCTAGTGGCTAAGGTACTCGGCTGCTGAGCCGCAGGTCGCGGGTTCGAATCCCGGCTGCGGCGGCTGCATTTCCGATAGAGGCGGAAATGTTGTAGGCCGTTGTGCTCATATTTGTGTGCACGTTAAAGAACCCCAGGTGGCCAAAATTTCCGGAGTCCTCCTCTACGGCGTCTCTCATAATCATATGGTGGTTTTGGGACGTTAAACCCCACATATCAATCAATCATGATGGAACACGAGACTCATCTTACGGCCACCTCTCCATCGGCCTCGGCGACGCCTGCACCATCTATGGCAACGCCTTCACCGGCCCCACCCCCACCCACGTACGTGCTGACGCATTCGAAACATCCAGGAACGTTATGCGGTACGAACGAAGTTTATGTTGACCACTGGATAGCCGACTACGAACGTACCAGTGCACTCAACCGGTATGACCCGACTCTCATGCTGGCCAACGTGCTGTTTTATCTGAGAGGCACGGTCAAATTCTGGTACGAGAACCATGAGGAGGAGATCGGCAGTTGGGACATGTTCAAGGAGAAGCTGCGTGATTTATTTTGGAAGCCCATCGGTCGAAAGGCGGCTGCAGAAAAGGAGTTGTCTTTACGTGCTCAGACGTCCACAGAGCCGCATATCTCGTTTATACAGGACGTGCTGGCTCTATGTCGTAAATTCGACAACGACATGTCTGAGTCGGACAAGGTTGGCTACGTTCTCAAGGGGATAGCGGACGATGCGTTCAACCTGCTAATGTGCCGGAACTGCGCGACCGTCGAGGAAATATTTCAGGAATGCCGGCGTTTTGAACAGGCCAAAAGCAGGCGAAATTCAAGATCTTTCACTCGACTGCCGAACACCGCTGCGACGTCCTCCTCCAAAGATGGACTGACTTCTCATCGGCAGTCTTCACCGGCGTCTGAAATTATGCGAATCGTCTGGCGGGGAATTGAAGCAATTACACCTCCTCTTCCCAGCAAAGGCCACGTCGAATCGCAAGTACCTCAGGTTTGCTTCGTACAGTCAATTGTGCGGGAAGAACTCGCCTGTTTGGGCTTCGATATCTGCACCGTTGCTCAGTCTCGACCAATTCGCTTCCGTTCAAGGTCACCGCCTCACCCCAGGCCACCACCCCAAGAGCGGTCTTCTCCACGCTCTAGCAATTCGGCCGAATGGCGAACGGCGGATGATCGGCCGATCTGCTTTAACGGCCGTCGCCTAGGGCACGTCACACGGTATTGCCACAACCATTGATCTTCGTCGCCAACACAGTCTAACACTGCTCGCCGCGCCGACAGCTACCGCCTTTTGCAGCCTTCTGCGCCTACCCCTGACAGCTACCGCCGCCTTCCACCCTTCAATGCCCCTATTACGCTGCACAGCCGCTCACCGTCACCTCGACGTCATCAGTCTCGTTCGCCGCTTGCACGTCGCCCATCGTCCCCTTCTCCTCTACGACGACGCCCAACCTCCCCGCTCAATTCTCATTAGGGATACCAAGCGGTGCAGCTCTTAGAGGTTAAGCTGCATTCTCGATACCGACCTTAAATCCTTTCCTTGCACTGCCGACACGTCGAAATTTGAGCGATGTAGACGTTGACGGCCTGACTGTTTCTGCACTTATTGACACCGGGGCGCATATTTCTGTGATGAGTGCCCGACTTCATCGCCGCCTGAAGAAAGTTCTGCTTGCCCCTATTGCAGCCAGCCGAGCAAACGTACCTACCGATGAAATCACGATGGTGATTGCCCTTGAACTTCTGCCCTGTCAGGCTGCGCAAATCCACCATGGTCTGAGCACCTACCATGATATTGTTGACATCGATGACCACCCTTTAGGTCAAACATAAGTCGTGCGTCATCAAATATATACCGGCGATGCTAGGCCTGTTAGACAGCGACCATTTCGTGTTTCCCAGTCCGAACGCCAGGTCATACAACGAGAAGTCTAGAAGATGCTTTCTGAAGGAGACATACAGGCCTCTTCAAGTCTATGGGCGTCACCTGTTGTTTTAGTCAAAAAAAAAGATGGCAGTTGGAGATTTTGCGTTGAGTACCATGCCTTGAACAAGATAACCCGCAAAGACGTATATCCGCTGCCCCGAATCGACGATGCCCTTGACTGCTTTCATGGCGTGCGATACTTCTCAGATATAGATCTGCGTTCGGGCTATTGGCAAATTTCTGTCGACGACTTAGACCGTGAAAAAACTGCCTTTGTCACACCGGACGGCCTTTATGAGTTCAAGGTTATGCCTTTTGGGCCGTGCAACGCCTTGGCAACGTTCGAACGCATGATGAACCCTCTCCTCCGTGGTTATAAATGGTGCATCTGCCTTTGCTGCCTTGACGATGTGTTTGTGTTTTCTACAACATTCGAAAGCCACCTAACTCGCCTGTCAACCATTCTAGCCGTTTTTCGTCGAGCGGGACTCCAGGTGAACTCAAAAAAGTGCAATTTCGGCCGACGAGAAATCATGGTCCTTGGTCATCGTGTAAATGCTGCTGGCGTACAACCGGACCCTGACAAGATTAGCGCTGTCAAGAACTTTCCTCTTCCTTGTACTACCAAAGATGGTCGTTGTTTATTGGGCTTCAGTTTCAGTTTCTGTTTATTATTCATTTCAAAAAAGTAGTACAGTAATATTATTATACAGACGAGGGTCCCAAAGTTAAAAACTTTAACAGGACCCTCGACGAGGGTCCCAAAGTTAAAAACTGTAACGGGACCCACGATGCTATAAAACAATCAATAAATCAGATCAAGTTAACAAGCAACGAGTGAATGGAAATCAATTATACAATATAGAGTGATAAGGTATTATTATAGGCTAAGTGACACTTCAGGCAACAAAAAGCAAGGCAAATAAGGAAAGAAAAAAGAAAGAACGGGAAAAAAACATCTCGTTCAGTGGCGGACATTGTCAATCGAAATGCAATGATATAAATGGCATAACCAAAAACGCAAAGCCCCCAAAAAGCCCATATACAGGCAGCTAATAATTTAACAGAAAACTTTTAAGCGACTTTTTGAATGATGACAATGTGGGCATCGTTTTAACAGAAAGAGGCATAATATTCCAAAATGTAATGGCCGCAAAGGCAGTGGTCATTTTTTCATAATTTGTGCGCGACGCGGGTAGCAAAAAGTTAAGGTTCATTGCAAATCTGGTTACATTGCTGTTTTGTAAGAAAACTGAATCAATGAACTCAAACGGTAGCAGTGCATTGCGCAATTGAAACAGAAGAACGGCTATGCTATTAAAAAATAACTTACGAACAGGTAGGATTTTGTTGTCTTGGAGTAGATGGCCTGCACTGGAGTATCGTGAGCTATTAGTGATAATGCGGATCGCCTGATTTTGTATGTTCTGAATGGGTGATAGATGACAGTCATACGTGTTTCCCCAAGCAGCGATACCATACATGATATGGGAATGAATGAAGGCGAAATACAGAGACATAAGTACGTTTATATGAAAAACTTCACGAGCATATATGTTTCTGAGGTGATCAGTGTGGAGATTAAACTTTAAATGGCAGTCAATATGTACACCAAGAAAAATTACAGTATCACAGGTGGGTATAGAGTGAGGACCTAGGGTTAAGGGTTGATGAAAAGGCAATGGCCTTTGAGCGGACCTAAATATCATAAACTTGGTTTTGGCTGGGTCAATAATACGTTGGTTCTCGTAGCACCATTTAGTAATATCTAGAAGTGTGTTATTCAAGTGTAAAGTAAGAGCAGTTAGAGAAACCTCAGCTGCAGTTATAGTCGTGTCGTCTGCGTATAACACGCAGTGAGTTGATTTAAT